CACACACACACACACACACACACACATACACACACACACACACGCACACACACATACATACACACTATACATATATGAGTAAATTAGTAAATTAAAATAATACAATAAGACTATCGATTAATGGTGGAATTTTAATAGTACTAAGTAGAAAAAGGAAGTTTATTCAATAGGGTCACATAGAAAGGGGGGCAAAGAGATCCAGTGACTTTCTCAGTCCATCTTTTGGATCATGACACGAGGTGATGGCTGTCTGTTATCCTTCTGTCAGAAATGGGTAACAGCCTTTGTCTCAACAAGCCAGGTTTGGACAAATGTACTCAATAAATAATTTAAACAGACAAATATGTAGTAAAAAGCAGAAAAATAAGATTTGTTCAATGAGGTCACACTGGGGAAGAAGACAAAAGAGATCCAATAAAACCCCAATTCAATCTTTTTCAATTCTATTAATAAATATTAATGTTAGATAAATATAATTTAGATGCTCATTTCATATTGTTCTTACCTATTAGATATCACTAAAGATTAAAACAGTGCTTGAAAGTGGTTCATTACAATGAAGAACTTCGACAGTTTTCACACACACACACACACACACACACACACACACACACACACACACACACGAATCTGTTACATTATATATTTTGTATATACCCCTATAGTAATTTACTCTTCAAGAAACCTTTACTTCTTAAATGTGTGTGTGTGTGTGTGTGTGTGTGTGTGTGTGTGTGTGTGTGTGTGTGTGAGTGTGTGAGTGTGTGTACAAATACAGATTGCTAGGTCCATTTAGTGATTTTTGTTTACATGTACTACTTGAGATTAGACATGAATTTGAAAGGTAGTAGGGGAGAAACAGCAGGAATTGAAGGTAGGAAAGAGTGGAATAGAAATGAAATAGTAACCTCTAGACTGTGTCATGAAGACATAAACTTTTTCTGTACATTTTTGAGTACATGAATTCCCAGTTGACAGTCAACATCTTCGTGGAAATCATATCAAAGTGTTGGGAACTATGTTCTCATTCTTTTGATTTTAAAAGACATTAGTTGAAGGAGGTAAAATGAAAACACCCATTAAAATGTCCAAAAAATAAGTATTTCACCCTGAGCTTCCTATTTGAACATGTCCTTTATTTTTGGCATTTCATTTTCTATTCTATTTCTAAACATCTAAAACTGAGTTTTGACCTTGGTGGTTATATAGTTCTGATTTCTCCCTGACTTTCTCATGTGGTGCAATGTCTCTATAAAGAGACCTTTATCTTCAATCTAAGGATCAGATTTCATGTGTAACTTCTGCAAAGAATGTAGAAAAAAATCTTAAGAGGAATTATTTGTTGTTTAGCACTGTAAGTACAAACATGCCTAAAATAGAGATGGCCCTATTTGATGGAATCCTCAGAAGCAATGCTGCCATGTACTTCATACAAAACCAGTAAGCCTTGTCATTAGAGAAGGTTTTATTCTCCAAAGGAATCATCAAGATGGGAATCATGGAATGTAAAGGACTTCTAGAATTAATTAACAGATTGTGTGTCATGTATTTCGGCAGATATAAAAAACAGAGCATGGAAAATGAACTTTTTCTTGATATTAAAATCAAGTTTGCTTTGAAAATTTATTATAACAAACATAAATTATACCCCAACATTTTCCATTTAAAAATGTTTACTATGTTTCAGCTTTGGATTGGAATTAGATATTTATCATAGGAGAACTATGTGGAAGAGATGTTTCTCATGACAACAGCTCTCGAAAATAGCATCCAAAATTTTTGAAAAAGATTTTACTCCTTTAAAATTTTGAGAATCACTTGTATAATTTAATTTTACATTGTCTTCTTAAATATTTTAATGAAAAAAATCTTTGAACTTCAAGATTAGTAGCATAAACATAATAAATACCTTATATCATTTCTTTATATTGAATAACATGATCCCCACTATTTTAGAAATATATCTACATGTCACTCCATTCCTTTGACTTTTAGCTAAAAAGTTTAGCTTTTATTTTATTTATTTTATTCATTGCATTTCAAAAAATATGATATGGATATCACTTGTGTTAAAGAAATGCATGAATATCTTTATAATGGAAACATGTTGAGGCAACATAGATCCAATATCATTTTTGAAAGCATTTTATTAATCTAAATTCCTTAATTATTTTTGAGGGCACAAAGTAAATCCATTATGGTATGATTTATTCACTAAGCATTAAGTTATATTCTACACTATACATATACATTGTTTTAGAAAATATGCTAGGGATAATTTGACTCCATTGAACTTTAAGTAAACTAACTGCGTTTACATGAATGGGTGAATGATTTTATACTGAAACAAGTGTAGCCTCTAAGGGTATGCATTCCTGAAGAAAATTAATTATCCCTCCACTAGACATCATAAATTACCAATAGATAATTAGAAATTGGGCTTGATGAGTTCCTTTCAGATTTATTCTGGGATTTTGGATGATTTGATCTTCTGCAGATTTTCTGCATGTAGTCACAGCCTTTATAACTTCATGTTTGTATTGACAAGCTGTCATGTCAGTACTCTTTCACCACACCATCCTCTGCCTTTTCTTTCTTTCTGCCTTTCTTCCTTTCTTTCTTCCTTCCTTTCTTTCTTTCTTTCTTTCTTTCTTTCTTTCTTTCTTTCTTTCTTTCTTTCTTTCTTTCTTTCTTTCTTTCCTTCCTTCCTTCCTTCCTTCTTTCTTTTTCTTTTTTCCTTCCTCCCTCCCTCCCTCCCTTCCTTACTTCCTTTCTTTTCTTTCTCTTTTTCTTATTTTTTTCTTTCTGCTTCTTTTTCTTTCTTTCTTTCTTTTTTTTTCGAGACAGGGTTTCTCTGTGTAGTTTTGGTGCCTGTCCTAGATCTCGTTCTGTAGACCAGGCCTGTCTCAAACACAGAGATCTGCCTGCCTCTGCCTCCCGAGTGCTGGGATTAAAGGCATATGCCACCACTGCCCGGCTCCACCCACTATCTTTATCTCCTATAGGCTTTATACTACTCATACTGTGAACCTTGAGACTCACATATAAATATTGCATTTTTGATGTCCCATTTAGAATTTTCCATACACAGTTTCTTACTCTCTGAATATTGAGCAATTGTGAATTTCTATATTAATCATTATCTACTACAAAAATGAATTTTATTTGATGAGTAATGAGAGATGCATGCATAATATATAGGTAGAAAGAACTTATTGGACATTTTATTACTGTATATTTAATCTTTTATATTGTGAGATTCTAATTATATCATTTCTCCCTTCCTTTTCCTTCCTCCACACCTTCCCACATACCTGCCTTTGTTTTCAACCAAATTCAAGTCTCTCTTTTTTTTTTTTTATCATTTATTTAATGGCTAAAATCCACTTATATGTGAATACACACCATATTTATCTTTCAGGCATGAGTTTTCTCATTCAGGATGCTTCTTTTAATTCCTTTCCTTTGCAAATTTCATGATGTCACCTTTTAAGTTTATTTATTTTACATACAGACCCCAGTTTTGCCCCTTTCTTTTCTTCCAGTTCCTCACCTCTGCCCTTCTACATCTACTCCTTCTCCATTTCTATTCAGAAAAGGACAAGCATTCATTGGATATCAACAATACATGGCATATCAAGGTGCAGTAAGGCTAAGCACCTCCCCTTGTATTAAGGTTGGGCAATGTATACCAATATGAGCAATGGGGTCCCATAAGCCAGGAAAACAGTCAAAGACAGCCCCTATTCCCACTGTTAGGAGTCCCACAAGAAGACCAAGCTATACAACTGCCACATATATGAAGAGGGCCCTGGTCAGTCCTATGCAGGCTCACTGGTTGGTGGTTCAGTTGCTATGAGCTCCTATGAGTCC